GGGAGGGCGGGGCGCGACGTCGGCCGTGCGGGGTCCCGGCGTCGGCGGCGCGCGCGCTCCCTCCTCTCAGAGAGAGGGCTGTGGTAAAAGCCGTCCGGAAAATGGCCGCCGCCGCCGCTGCCGCGCCGAGCGGAGGAGGAGGAGGAGGCGAGGAGGAGAGACTGTGAGTGGGACCGCCGCGGCCGCGGGCGGGGACCCTTGCCGGGGGGCGGAGGGTAGGGGCGGGACGTGGCGCGGGAGGGGCCCGCGGGGTCGGGCGACACGGCTGGCGGATGGCGTCCCTCCTCTCTACCCTCCCCCTCCCGCCGCCGCCGCCGGTGACGGCTCCCCCCTCGGCCCGTCACCCGCACTCGCGGTGACCGTCCTCGGCGCGGTCTCCCAGGGCCGACTTCGCCTGACGCCCCCCTCCCTCCCGCCTCCGGCGCGCATCCCGGCCCCCGGCCCCGCGGGCGCCCCTGTCGCCGGGGTTTTGCCTGTCGGGGCTGCGCGCGCGTCGTGCCCTTCTCGGGGCTTCGGGCCCGCGGCGTCGTCGCGCGCCCGCCGCCCCGGCCTCTCCCTGGATCGCGCTCTCCCCTCTCCCTCCCTCGCGCGCCCCCTCTGCCGTTACTCGGCCCCCCCCACTGGCGCGCGTGCGCAGTCCGCCTCCCGTCGGGAGAGTGCGCCACAAGGGCTCCTGTGCTCTCACCCCCATCTCCAGGCTTTGCCTCCCCCTCCTTCTCGCCCATTCCATGACTTTCTGCCCCCACTGCGAGCGAGTCGGTCCACCATCTCCTTTCCCCTCTAGCAGGAACAAGTAGGTGGGAATTATTGTCCACCCACAAAAGGGACTAGACATTGTGTTCCTGGTCCCACAACTCATCATAAAGAGGCGGTTATAGTTCCCATCATGAACCTTAGGTAGGGGACTGTGTGTCCGGGAGCACTAGAGGCTCTTCGGTGGGAGTGCGCCCCCAGGGTCTTTGGGGGGTTCCGTGGCCTCAGAATGTGAGCGCCCTCCCATCCTCCCCGCCCCCCTTCGCCGGAGATCTTCTAGTTACATAAGTGGAGTGGGACATAGTATGTAACCGGCTCCTATAGTTCTGGAGCGCGCCCTGCTCAAGATGATCATCACCAGATGGGCCAAGTTCATCGCATCGCTGTGGTTCCTGTCAATTGCCCCTGAAAGTTTATTTTCTTTTTAGTTTGGTTATAACTGAATTACCCAAACTGAAACTCAGGTGACTTTTACGTGGTATGGCAATGTTTCTGTGGTTTTGCTCTGAAGACTTAATGTCATCGTAAAGAGTCTAAAAAAATTGCTTTCACAGAGGAGACCGTTAATGACCTTGCTTAAGTGGACCCGAGGTTGGGAAAGCTTGCTCTGGAATACCTAGCTCTGTGGTGGTCGCCTGAGTTGTGAGTGTGTTCGTTGTGGATTGGTCACAGCAGAAATGGGCTCCACCACAAAAGTGATATTCCTGACTCATGGTCAGGCAAATGTGTGCTTCTGGTTCTTTTTCCAGGAACAGGAATGGACTCTGCAGAGCCATTCACACGTTGTGTCTCTGTTGTGTGGGATCAGTACCCCAAATTGTGAGATGGTAGGATCGAATTCAGGGGGGTGGTTGGTGATGGTGGAAGCAAATCTAGCAGCGCGTGATGCCAGGTGGCTTAGACTTTGCAAGACTCTGACAAGTTTTAGGTGTTTTGTTATACCAGAAAAATGAAGGTTATTTGTGCCGTGGTAGTAAAATTCAGTGTTGTTAATAGGCAATTATTACTTGAAAAGAAATTCGTGTTTCATGGCCAGAATTTTCATCTGGATCTCAGCGATTTCAGTTAACAACAAGATTAAGCTGACCTCTTGGGTCTTTTGAAATATGCTGGATCCTTATTTAAAAAGAAAAATAAAGCGGTGTCTAGGTTTCTTCGGTCTTTTAGGAATTTCCACCAGGGACTTAGGGAATAGGCTTATTTATGGGCTTTTTATGACTTCTATTTCAAATCCCAGTCAGGAAGCCCGGGAAACACTTGCTTTTATTTTCTTACCTGGACACAGGAGAACCTTAGGGGACACAGTCAATCTAGTAGAGTACAGTTGGTTAAATAAGTTGCCACAGATACCCATTTGTGGCATGTCAGCTTGGTGGCAGATCACTGAGGTACATTCCTATCCACACACACAGATGTACAAGCCTCACTTGACAAAGATTCCAAGGTTTGTGCATCTCAGCCTATGACATGACAGGATGAGGACTCTGTTTTGCATCATTGGCAATGCATTTGCCTCCTCGGGTGCCCCTCCAGTTAGCTGTTCATCATACCTCTAGCCTTTTATTTTATATATTTTTAAAGATTTTATTTATTTATTTGACAGAGAGAGACACAGCGAGAGAGGGAACACAAGCAGGGGCAGTGGGAGAGAGAGAAGCAGGCTTCCCGCCGAGCAGGGAGCCCGATGTGGGGCTCGATCCCAGGACCCTGGGATCATGACCCTGAGCTGAAGGCAGATGCTTAACAACTGAGCCACCCAGGCGCCCCACCTCTAGCCTTTTAAACAGCACAGGCAGCTTCCAGAATACAGTTTCTCTGAAAAGTGCCTGGTGGCATCTGAAGTCAGTATGTTCTAACAGCTTGAAGAAACCTATGGCTTTCTTGCTATTACGGGCTATCACACCGTCCTGTTTCTTGTTACAAATGAGCCTGGAATGCTTTAAACCTACAGTACCAGGTCTTTATTTCACCTGACAGAGCATGATGCAGTGAAACTCTCCTCGACTTTTGTGCTGTTTATGTATTGGGAGGGTTAGAATACAATTTTGCATTCTATTTGCAATTTCTAACCAGAGTCATTGTTGCCCGTTTACCCTGCCTCTGTGTGGCCAAAGCTAGAGTGGGTGGAGAGGCAAACTGGAGTTTGACAAAAAGAAACTGTGGAGTTTGGCTAGATAAGTCCAATATGATGTTGCCCCCACCCGAATACTCCGTCCCCTATGTGGGCATTGAATGAGAAGCTTGCTTCTTTAACCTGAAATAGAGAAGAGCAGAAGCAAAATTGTTAGTTCCTTACTCCAGTCCAGTTTCCACCACTAATGTACCTGCCTGGGACTGTTTGCATGATAAATGATGTGTCCTGATCGTTTATAAAGGTGAATATCAGTGGAAATCTTTTAATTGGCTAAGGGCAGTTTGTCGCCAGGCTGCCTGAGTTATCTATGAGGAGGAGAGAATCCCAGAAAATGTTTGACATTTGTAGTAACTATAGTTGACCTTTGAACGATGCAGGGATTGGGGGCCGCGACCTCTCACCCCCGTGCAGTTGAAAATCCACGTATAACTTTTGACTGCTCCCCCAGAATTTAACTACTAATAGCCTAGTGACCAGAAGCCTTATTATTAACTTAAACAGTCGATTAATGTATATTTTGTATGTTATGTGTAGTATATACTGTATTCTTAAACACAATAAAGGTGTTACTAAGAAAATCATAAGGAAGAGAAAATACATTTACAGTACTATACTGAAAAAAATCAGCATATAAGTGGACCCGAACAGTTCAAACCTGTGTTGTTCAAGGATCAACTGTAGTTTTTTAAGGGCATGGGGGTGGAGGGGTGGGGGAAACACAGTCCTAGACTGGTGGCGAGTTCCAGGGAGTGCAGCAGGACACCTGCATGTTTTCACCACCCTCTGCTGTGGTGACATGCATGCAGACCAGCCTCGTGGCTGGCAGACACAATCTTTTTTCTTGGGTAGAGCATTATTTCTGCTTCAACGGAAGGACCTTGTCCTCAATTCTTCTGTACCAGGCTTTTCCAGTCAGATTGCTGTTGTCACCACTGTGACTACTATGCCTTTATCTCGTTTCCAGTAGGACAGATGTGAATGGGTTCTTCTTCCTTGGACTCAGTTACACAAAGTTATGCTCTTCTGCCTTTATCTGTTCTCTTCTGCCTTTCTCTTGCAAGGAACCTTTTCTTATTGAAATCTTGATTTGCATGCTATTACTTAAATACTTGGTTCTGCCATTTTTGATGGTAGGTATGGTGTTGGGGGAACTGAGTGGGAGTGGGAATTTGGTGGCAGGCAGGGCATCCCCATTCCCAAATCAGAGGGGGTGTGTGTGGCCATTCTACTCAAGAATAAAGCCTTGACCTTTATAACTTCTTCAGGGCATACTTACGTTGGGTCTGCTGGCATATGAAGGTGTCCTCACCATGGCTGTTTAGCAGTTCCTGCAGATGTCTGAACTCTCCGGAGCAAGCCTTAGGAAGGGTTTACTTGTCTTCCTTGCCTAGGAGCTGGGGGCATCATATATATGGAGCTGCACATTACTGTTTTATTGGGTTTTCACTTAACTGCTTTCATTTGCTTGCTCTTTTTTCTGTAAATCTTGAGTTAATCAAAGATCTTAAAATTTCAGAGCTGGAAGGAACCCTTAGTCCAGCTCCCTCAGTTTACAAGTATAAAAACAAACCGTGGCTGTGAGAAGTTGTAGCTTTGCCAGGGCCTCCCAGCCAGGATACTGGGTATGATTTTTATTATATAGCTAACAGTAGTACTGTTACCTTGACTTCTGGATTTCAAAGCATTCTATGACTTGACTGTTTCAGGGAATTGTAAGGCCTCACTGCACCTCAATAGATAATTCCAGGTACCATCCTGGTAGTTACAGACCAGCTGTGAAAGACTTGGTTGGTGTTGCCCTTCCTCTGGGTTTAATTACATGAGTAATTGTGTGAATAGTCTCTAAGTTGTATATTCTAGGTTTTTTTAGTCTAAAGGTGAAAGTGCTGCTCTTGGGCCAGCAAGCTAACCAGAGATTAGCTAATATGGGGCAGTTTAGGTTTTAACAAGGAAATGATGTTATCTTGAAAAATGTAATGACAAAAGTCTTCTTTTGAATGTATTCAAAAGCAGAAGAGAAACTATCAAACTAATAACTTAGTTTGTTGAACATTGTGATTTAACTGATCTGAGAGGCTTAAAAGTGATTGCTCTGAAACAGACTTGCATATATTGGAGGAGGGCTTTGGATCTCCCAGGGCTTTTGGTTTCTGTTGGTGCTGCTTTTTTTTCCCCCTCTCTCTCAGGGTTAAAGCTCCTTTAAGTGATGTTACAACAGCTCATTTCAAATTCAGCTGCTTGAAAAAGAAGGCCAACTTTGCCTCTGGATTTCACGTGTTCTTTTTGGGATGACATTTTGATGTTGCATGTTCTCTTGAACATGTTTTCTCTCCCTGAGTACTTCTGTATGACAGTGCAAGGAATACTTACCAGGGATCACCACTAACAGTATGCTTTATAGTGCCAAAGTGTCCCTCAGAGGTGACAAGACTTGTGATAGTGTCGATTCTAACACACATGAATCTTTATTTTAGTACTGTGTGTTATGTGCTAGTAATTTGTGGTTTATCCTTGTTTCTAGTAGGTAAGCTGGGAAATAGCATAGTACTTTGTCTATATGTTTATCTTCAAAATGTCCCAAATAGCCCTGGGAAAAAGGTCGTGCAGCACAATGGGGGCTTTCAACTTACGATTTTCTTTGTTTTAGGCTCCATAAAAATACAGACTCACCAGTTCCTGCTTTGATGTGACATGTGACTCCCCAGAATACATCTTGCTTCTGTAGACCAGCTCCAACAGGATTCCATGGTAGCTGGAATGTTAGGGCTCAGGTAAGTAACCTTCCTTTTTTTTTTTTTAGTATATGTCCTGGTTTGGCCATCTGTTTTTAAAAAAAAAAAAAAGGAAAAAAAAACAAGATGTACTACTCTTGGACAGTATAAAAGTACCCCAAAGACTAAAGATATAACTGTGCCAAACTGTGCCATATAATAAAAAAAAGTCACTTCCCTGAGCCCTGAAAGGTCAGTTTGGGTAGGGTTACTTGGTAGCCACAGCGTGATCTGGGGGCGGGAGTCAGATTAGAGCCGGAACTGGTGATCTGCAACTTCAGTTCACCTTGAAGCAGGTCAGCTGAGTTGAGAGCGCTTTGACTGAGCTCTTCACCTGCCACTGCTGCTGTTGCCTAGCGGTCTTCAGCATGGTGCTTTGTTTGCTTTGGTTTTGGGTAAATGACTTCCTGGTCAATGTTAGTGAGCAGTGGTAAAACATTTTCAGATATGGGAGCTGGTGTGTGGTCCCCTAGAAGGATGGCTTCCTGAAAGCTGTCACAGAACAGCAGAGCCCGTGGCTAATGGCTGTGCTTGCTACTCTCCTTCCCCGGAACTAAAGAGCACCCAGACACAGGTCTGGCTCTTGAGACTCTAGAGCAGAATGAATGCCTTTTGAAAAGCTGAGGATCCAAGCCATATGAGGTCTGACACTCAGGTGCTCTATAAGCCACACTTTTGGCTACTTTGGTGCCATTGTGTGGACTTTAATTTTGTAAAAATGAGTGGTTCCTTAATTTCTCAACTGTCAGGCTCAATATCTCAAGCTTTTTTAAAATCAGTGGTCACTCCACATTTGATGTTTTGACACCTGGATTTCAAACATTCCATGTGGTAAGGCAGAACGTACTAATTTTTCCATTCCTTTTCCTAAGAAAAAATGTGAGTTTATACATATGCTGCCATTGTGATTGCAGCTGAGACCCCCAGGTAGCACTTTGTTGTGTCTCTCTGCTGGTTTCTGACACCTCAGTCTGAAGCTTTGTGGACATCCATAACATAGCCTAGTAGGGGACTGTGGAAGGGGCAGGGTTTGGGTAAAGGAGAATAGAAGGTGTGGAAGGAAGTGAAGAGCATTGCACTGCCTCCAAGTCCCAAATTTGGTTCCAGTCCTGATCCTGTGACTCAAATTGTCATTTCTCCTTTATTGCTGTGGGGTGTACTCTGGGCCCTGCTGACAGGACGTTCTTTGTACACCACGTATTTATGCTGGTGGGAGTTGTGTGGCTGATGCTTTGTGCATTGTCTCAGAAACTGTGTGGACTAAATGTAATATGGGCAGTGAATGGGTTTCTTCTGGTAGATGTTAGGCCTGGGGGTGGTTTATGTTTTTAATAGCCTTTTTCTCAGATTATGAATGGATTTTATAAAACAGGTAGTGGTCACTCTATATAGTTTCTTCTAAGAAATGTAGAAAGGAAGAGATAGTTAAAAAAAAGTCTATTACTTATGAGTGGAAAAGACAGCCATTTGAGCTTCAAGAAACTTTGCAGGGAATTCTCCCAAGGACAGAACCTGTCTTTACTAGATAAGTGTTTGATATCTTATTATTTTTCTTCTTTTCCTTTTTTTTTTTTTTTTAAATTTTTCTTTTTTTTTTTTTTTAAGATTTTTTATTTATTTATCTGAGAGAGAGAATGGGAGACAGAGAGCATGAGAGGGGGAGGATCAGAGGGAGAAGCAGACTCCCCGCTGAGCAGGGAGTCCGATGCGGGACTCGATCCCGGGACTCCAGGATCATGACCTGAGCCAAAGGCAGTTGCTTAACCAACTGAGCCACCCAGGCGCCCCCTTCTTTTCCTTTTTTAAGAAATTATAAAAATAATGCATGCTTTTATAGAAAACAAACCATTTTAAAGTATACCACGTAAAAAGATGAAAACTCCCCGTTACTCTCCATGCTCACTACCCAGAGTAACCACTATTAATGTAGATCCTTCTGAATCTTCTCAGGCTATACAAATATGCACATTTTGTGTTTTTAACAAAATGAGGATGATATTATACATATTCTGCATCTGTCCTTGTGATATGTTTCTCTCTGCCTCATTTCTGTTAAATGGCAGTGTGATCTGGTGCTGACTTAAACTGTCATGCATTGTCCCCCTATTGGCTTTCCCAGTTGTTCGCTATTAAAGATGGTACTGGATTGAACTTCCTCATGTGCCAGTCTTTTTGAAGAACAGCTGCCTAGACTTGGAATTGCTGATGGGTACCACCACATCGCCTTCCAAAATGGCTGTCTCAGTTCCCATGACAGTCTGAGAAAGTGCCACTTCCCAGACCCTCTCAGAATTGGATGCCCATCTTTTAAATTTGTGCTCCTTGGGTTATTACTGAGGCTGAACCTCAGTAATCATCAGCCAGTTGCATTTGGTCTTTGTGAATTGCTTGCCTGTTGGTGTTCTGCATTTGTTCTTCCATCAGGATATTTGTTTTTAAGTTGATTTGTAAGAACTTGTATTAAGGATACTCTTTGTCATCATGCAAATATTTTTCCTACCTTGTCGTATATCTTTTGATTCTGCTTGTCTTTTTTGATGTATAAAATTTTTTTTTTTTGAAGATTTTATTTATTTATTTTTGCGAGAGAGAGAGAAACAGAGAGTACAAGCAGGGGGAGGGGCAGAGGGAGAAGCAGACTCCCCACTTAGCAGGGAGCCTGATGCGGGACTCGATCCCAGGACCCTGGGATCATGACCTGAGCCGAAGGCAGATGCTTAACCGGCTGAGCCACCCAGGCGCCCCTGATGTATAAAATTTCTGTTAGGATTTTTTTCTTTTGCTTTTATACTTAGAAAGTCCTTTCCTACCTTAAAGACATGTCAGTATTCATCTATATATTTTTCTTCTTAAAAAAACTTGATGTACTATATTGATCTATACAAAAGAATCTTATAGGTAAGTTGTCCTGTGTTTTTCCTATGGTTATAAAAATGCTTGTTTTTGTATTGAAATTTGGGTAGGGATGCGTTCCCCACTTACCCAGTCGTGTCATAGCCATTTGGTGATTCAGTCATCTGGTCTTCACCTTTACCATATGTTGACTTCAAGTAAGCAAAGCATCTACTTTTTTCTTTCTGAAGTCTTTCTTTGTGAGACTTGATGGCAAGCTGGTCAGCATATAATCATTTATTCATTCACCCAACAAGTACTTGAGCCCTGATTCGAGGCAGGGGCAGTGTGGGGCCCTGCAAGGGCTGCTTCCTCCTTGACTCGGGGCAGGGCCACAGAGGTTGCAGTAACAGTGGCAATGGCTACGGTGCTCATTCCAGAAGACTCAAGAAAATAGTGGATCTTCACAAAGTAGGTTTTGGATAAACTAGGAGGAATCGGAGGGTGTGCGTGCGTGTGTGCGCGTGTGTGTGTGTGTGTGTGTGTTTTAGATTCTGACACAGAAGTGAGAGCTTAGGGTAGACTGCAACATAAGCATCATTTGTTTCCTAACTCATGTAATTGCAGGCTGATTTTTGTCTTGAATTATGATGAGGGCTTTTTGCTGTTGAAACAGTTCTATATTCAGCTAGCTCGGTTGTGATGGAATAAAAGTTGTGTACTGATAAAAATGGTAATTTTCTTCTGTGATGATTTTGAAGCATTTCTATAATAGTTCATAAAAATAAAGGCAGGCTTTGGGTGAATATATTCTTAGGTAAAAAGTAATTTTTTGCAACTTGCATCATTTAAATCTAATAAATAACCTTAAAACTGAAGTGGAATCCTGATTTGGATTGAAAAAATATTTTTTATTTAGAGAAAGGGTATAAATGACTTATGATTAAGGAAAAAGCTTCTTGTATAAGGCTGGGTTTTTTGTTTTTTTTTTTTTAAAGATTTATTTATTTGACACAGAGAGAGAGACAGCTAGAGAGGAAACACAAGCAGGGGGAGTGGAAGAGGGAGAAGCAGGC